TATTATGTATACACCCACATAATTTTAAAAAGTGTGAGACCAATGTATTATTTTCAAAAGATGTGCATAACTCATTTCTAGGGAGAGAAACAAGCTGCAGAAAAAGTATATAGTCCTATTTTTAACATAACTTTGAGGAAAAACAACAACCGCCTTTGGTATAGATATGTTTCTGTAGGACATTTGATTAAGTAATGGAATTCAGTATAAGATCAAGGGAAAAAGAGGGAGGAAAAGTTAAGACGCGCTCCGTCTCCAACTAGTCGGGGAGCCCCCCACCCTGAGGCACGCACAGACCCTATCCGCGGGTCGGCAGTACTGGGGCCCGCCCACTGAACCTACAGCTCCACCCTCCAGGCCGTTTTAGGCCTCACCGTCACCTCAGTTCCTGGAGAGGTAAATCAGTTTCTCTTCACTGCTCAATCCTTAACCGACTGCTGAAAGAATCCTCGGCTCTTGACAGCCGCAGTGCTAGCCACTTCCGCTCCCAGCGGCCCCCGAGGCAGGAAGAGGAAGTGCTTGGGTGGAGGGCGGGTCTTATGCGGCTGCGCGACGCTAGGCGTCCGGGCTGGCTCCGGGTCTAGCTGTGAACGCGACTTCCTGAGGATGGTGAGGTGGGCGGGGAAGGCTGAGGGAGGACCGATACCAGGAACGGCCCAGGCCGCAGCCAAGGTACTGCTCCTGTCTTTCTGTTCCGAGATGCGGCCTGTGCAGCGCGACCTCGCATCCGGCGCCCCTTTCCGGTTGCTGGCTGTCGGGTGTCTGGGTCTGGGGACCGCACCGTCATCCTGTCAGAAAGGAAACTCAACCAGAGTCCAATCCAGGGCTCCTATTCTAACCACACTTATGCTCCCTAGTACGCAGGCCAAGTGCTTTGCGGGGCTGTGCCCTGCCTAACATGCAAGATGATTGTGTTAGTAATTGCTGTTTTATTTCATTCAGTATTTAGTATTATCTAGCTTTGCGACTTGAAAGTTAGGGTAGGGTCTACGTATATGAGTTGAGTGACTTGTTTATTTTTACAATTGAAGGGGTGAACAAGATAATCAGATAAAGCTTTATATCCATATAACGTTTTTGTTTGCTTTTCTTTGGGGTAGGGAGTGACCGACAATTTGCCATCCCTGAGCTTAAGTTGTTAGCTTTGCTTTGCTTCTGTTCCT